GCCACATGGAGGGCATACCTCTTTAGACCTTGCTTCAGCAAAAGAAAACTGGATCCCATACAGAAAACATGCCATTGTGTACTTTCCAAAGATCTATTGTAAAGCCATATAATGAATGCTTCGCTTCACAGTGCATGGCCGTATGGCAAACTAAACACGTGTGTTCTGCACACAAAGTAGCAGGAGTAGGGAATATTTGGGTCTACAGAAGCTTGGGTCTTCAGCTGCCAGAAACCCCAACCAGCAAGGGATTAACAAAGGATAACTTTGGTTTCATACCTGATTTTCCATGCATAGAGATGCCTTCCATAGTAGTAGTTTTAGAAAAGGTAGTCATAACTTTATAATAGCCTTAGAACTGCAGGGCTGGAAAGGACCCTATGGATCATCTCGTCCAGCTCCTGTCAAGGAGGCTTAGTAGGGAATCAAACTCCCAACCTCTGGCTCCACAGCCAGAGACCTAAACCACTTAGCATATCAGGCAAAAACAAAATAAAAAATAAAGAAGACAAAAACATTGTGGCACCTTAAAGACTAATTTAAATATAAATATAATTAAAAAATATAGCAGTGAGTCTTTCAGGTGCCACAACATTTTCATCTTTTTCTCCTTTTCTTTTTGCCTGATATACACACGGATGACTGCTTAGGCCAAAATCTGGCTTTTGAAATGAAGAGAACAACGGATTTGGTCAGGCAATTAGGCATCTACGTTTTACTCAGCTAGAATAAAACCTAGAGATGAGATCTGGGCATCTTTCTTTGAGCTGCGAAGTTTACTATAGCTCACCTTTGAAACCTTGCCTTTTGGAAGCTGCGCCAAGGATGAGAGACACAGATGCTCAGAGCATTCCTGCATCATTCCTGTTCAAAGAAAATGCAACAATATTTCCAGCTTTGTAGTCTAGGGATCACTTCTTTTTACAGCCTCACAGCATGCTAGAGGTGATAAATAACAAGAAGCAAGGACTGAGATAGTAGAATTGCAAAGGTCATTTGCAGCAGTTGAAAATGAGACCCTGGCACTGGGGGGGGGGGAACCAGCAGAAGGTCAGCTAGAATTCTAGTCCAAGGAGGAAAGAGACCGGAAACATTGCTCTGCATCTCAGTCTTGTAAACTTGCTGATGAAAAGAGATGATGAAAAGAAAAATGGCTAAACAGGTTTTCAGCGCTTGTATTTCAACTCAAATTAATCAATCGTCCACAAAAAAACAAAATTGAGATTCTGAGCCTTGCCGCAAATAGTATGTTAGCTGAGCCATTGGGGCTACCAAGCAAAAATTCCAAGCAAAATGAGCTTGTGATTCTTTCTGAAAGAAAAAAACAAACAGTATCCCCCCGCCACAAATGTGGTTTCTGCATGAATCCAGGCTCAAGGTCCCAGGATAGACAAAGAGAATTGAACCCTAAGAGGACAGGAATTCCTGACCAAAGCTCTAGCTTTGTCCCTGGCGACTAGCATCAATGGTTATTAGTCACCATGGCCTCCTGGATCAGAGACAGGGTGGGAGTATGCCACTGCATCCTACTTTGGGGCTCCCCGGAGGCATCTGGCTGGCCACTGGGGAAACTCAGTATCAGATTAGAGAGACCTTTAGTCTAATCAGCAGAGCTCTTAGCTCTTAACTGGCCCAGTTCAACACATTATCGTGGCAGCGTATAACTGCCTTTCCCCATGGCAAGAGTTCACCAGTTCCATGTGATTTACTTCAAATAAGAAGGATTTCACCACCACCCCAGGAGTCGGTCCACACATGCAGGAGCCACTTCCCACAAACAGCTTCCTATGTGGAAAGACACAAGTCCCAGTCTGCCTTCTCAGCGGCAAGGGTGTCACTGCTATAACAAGATACAGATGGACCCCTCTACCTGCAGAATCACTATCTGCTGATTCAATTATCCAGTGCCTGAAAATAATATCGTGTTTCCCCGAAAATAAGACAGGGTCTTATATTAATTTTTGGTCCAAAAATGCATTAGGGCTTATTTTTAGGGGATGTTTTATTTATTTTTTTCATGTACAACAATCTACATTCATTCAAATGCAGTCATGTCATCTTCTGGTTGACGCACAATAGTGGAGGGTGGGGTTTCACTTAACTAGGGCTTATTTTGGGGGTCTGCAGAATATATATATTCTGTTCTTGCAATAGATCCAGAAGTTGTAACCTGGAAAAGTAGTTATTTTGAGCTTGTGACCCTACCTATCTCCCCCCACCCCTCTCTCTCTCTCTCTCACACACACACACACACACAGAGATTCTGGGTTCAAGGATTATTCTTTGAATAGGCTAAAGACCTATCAGGAAATCTTGGAGATCCACCATCACTTAGCATAGGCTAAGACAATACTATCTTCATTTTAAAGAGCTGCAAAGCGTTGGCCCCTCGTCTGGTCAGCCTCTACAGACGAAAGCAGCTCAGCGAGACACCAGACAAGGGGCTAAGGTTTGGAAAATCTTTAAAATGCTCTAGGCGGAAGCCTCCCATTCTGTAGGATATTTGCAGATGGCAAACCATCCAGGGGACGACGAGGATCCGTGCACAGCCCGAGAGCGGCAATGATCCCACTGGGATCGGGTCTGATGGCAACTAAGCCTCTACAGCATTTGGATTCTTGAAGAAATGAGGAGCATATGCTGGGCTGGAGCCAGAACTGCTGCAAAGCTCCCTTATTTTGTTGGAGCTGCAGCAATAAAAAGGCCGACTCCACAGCCACCTGACGTTTGGAGCGGTTCCTAGAACAGGGCTCATCTCCCCCTTGACAGACAGACTAGTAGTGAAGCACCCTGGACCACAAGGGCCAGCGCTCTCCCACATTTGGCCAAGACATACGAACACAGCCAGGGAGCCAGATACCATTTTTTTGGGGGGGGGTGCTTTCCAGCCACTTGTATCCCCCATAAGGTCAGGGGTGGTGTGTCTCCGCAGGGAGAGTCAAGAAGCAGCACGCTTGTGGCGTTCTCTGGGGATCATTCCCTCCCACATGCTGTGCTCAAGGCAGGCTGGGGGGGGGGGGGGGAAACCATTCTGATTTAAATTAAAAATGATTTTTTTTAAAAAAATCCCATTTTAAAATTTTAAATCATTATTTAAATTTTTAAAAATGATTTTTTAAAATTTAAATAATCAAACAATTCAATTTTTAAAAAATTAAATCAAATCTACCCTAGTTCAGAATCAGTATTTAAATTTTTAAAAATGATTTTTTGATTTAAATAATCAAACAATTCAATTTAAAAAAAATTAAATCAAATCTACCCTAGTTCAAGGTCAACTGGAGAGAGTTGTCCGGATTTTAAGTAGGGCCCAGTAGGTGTTGCTGGACTACAAGTCCCAGCAATGGGCAGGGATAATGGGACCTGCTATCCAACAATATCTGGAGGGTTATTGGTCCTTCAGTCCTGTTCTATATGAAGTGACACTTGTCACACAAATAAATAACATTGGAAATAGCAAAACTATATGAACCAGAGAAATGAACCAGCATCCCAACGAACTATCCTTTTCTACTCCCGTAGATCTACTACTACCAAGAGGAAATTAATCCAGTCCTTCAGCCAAGCAGCAAGATTGGTCCGTTGCAAAATCCAACTCCTCCACCTACCCCCATCCAAGCAAGGAGAGTGCACCTTACCCCTGAATTTGGAAGTGAGGTGCCCCTTGACTGAGACTATGGGCCACTGATGTCCAGCTCTTCAGAAGAATTCACTTCATATTTAAAAAAAACACCAAGAACAAAACCAAGACAGAGAGAGAGAGAGAAGTGAACAACGAAGGACACTAAATTTCTCTCTGGTCCAGCATTTTGACAATGGCTGACAAACTGCCTCTGGGAATCACAGCTAGCACAACTGCACCCTCCTTCTCACGTTCTCCAGCAACAGATATGCAGGCGCGCTGCCTCTGATACAGGAGAGGATATAGAACCTTTCGGATTAGCAGCTGCAAGTGGTCAAAACCCCCATAATAAGCGTAGTTCCCACCTTTGGGGGATCTGCTGTGCAAAGCGACTGGTTTCGGTGGCACCTGCAGTCCAGTTCTGCAAGAAGAAGGGAAAGGGGAGGACATTCCCACCCCTCCACCCAGCAGTTATGGCAACCTAGTTTTGCAAATGGTTATCACAGGAAGCTGAGGCTTGAAGACATTGTAGAAATCGAGTAGAACAGTGAAGAGGCATCCAGTTGACTTCCTTGTTGTGCATTTCATCAGGTCTGCAACAGTTTCAGAGACAGGGCAAAAGTCTTGCATATCAGCAAACTGAAGGCGTGTGTTTGCACACGCAAGGGTTCCTTCTCATTCCTCACCGCTAGATGGCACTGGAGCCTTACTGTGTCCCCTTTCAAGAAAGGCTGCCCGTTCCTGCTCCCTACTCACCAGCCCGACCTTCGCTTCAGTGGAGAAGCCTTCCTGCTCTTCCGTTTGCCTGCCTTGCCTAAGAGAACTTGCCACTCCAGGGAAGAGAGTTAGCTCAGGAGAAAGGCTTTGGCAGAGGCGGCCTCTGTCCCCAGCGCCAAGCCAAGCAGAAATGTCAGAACGCTAAGCTGGTAGATTAACAGCAAACAACCCAGTACTTTGTTGGGAGGACATGATGTTGGAACAGTTTCCCCACCAATGACATGCTCCAGGAATGGAAAGCTAATACATAAGCGAGCAAGATGCTAGCTCAGCGCTTTGTCACACAGATACACACTCTTTTTTCACCTTAAAAATAAAAAGGAATGAGAACCGAAGTGGTCTACTCCCTTCTTCTAAGCCTGCACCGTTTCCTTCTGCTGCCTGTACAGATCAGAGCCAAGAACTCAACTCTTTTCCCTTACAGACAATTTCCTTTTTCAACAATTCCTCTGAAACGCATTTTTTCACATTTGTGCTCAGCCTGGTCAACACTACAAGCCTGACACACAGTTCCCCTTTCCGTTTGGCCTACGGTTTGCATCTAAAGGGCCGACAGCCCCGGCGGCCGCAAGGAGAAGGCAAGATAGCAGACACTACAGGGTCGATATAGCCAAGTATTCATTTATTAACAAAATAAGACTTACCAGAACGGAGTTCTATTCCCCCAAAAGGATCCGCAGCCTTCCGCGCTGCGTTAGACTGGGGGTCGGGGCTTCGCACCCTAATGACGGTTCCATTCCCAAGGGTCAAGAGAAAACTGGGCGATGGAGGCCATTAAGAGAGGATGGCGTGGCGGGTGGTTTGGGGTGTGGATTTTTTTTTTTTTTTGGTATGTAGATTTGAGCCTGCCGTTGAGGGTACAATTGCAACCCCGCGGGTTGGCTGGCCTCATTTTAAAAGATCCCAGCACGAATGGGGCTGAGTCCAAGTTCTTCCCACATTCTTCATTTGGTGAGAAAGTTCCTCTGTTGCAGTTCCTCATGGATGCTTGCCAATTAAAAAAATAAAATAAAATCCAAGTCTTTTTTTAAAGGAAAAGAAAAATTAAAAAGGAAGAGGTGCCCCACTGGGGAATGCTTCGTTTCCCCTACTTTTGGGGCTTCAGCATCATCAGCAAAATCCAGGTGACCAGGAGGAGTAGCACACCGGCCGGCTCTAGCGTCTACCACGCGTAGGGCATCCACTACCGCTGAAATCACGGCCGGCTGGACTTTACAGAGCGGAGACGTAGTCCTAACCGTGCCCGCCATGCGCCAGCTACACCCCAGCAGCAAAAGGGCACCCACCGCATTCCACACCACGGGAGTGGGGCACATTTTCCCAATTCCGCACTTAGAACCAAGCTGGCAAACCACCGCTCGGTCCACCTGGCCTCCCACCACCCTTTCCTCAGAACATAATACACCAAAGGGGAGGGGGAAGGAACCAAAGAAAAGAAATTACATTTCTGGTAACTGTACAAAAGGAAGAGAAACTGAATATGTATATAGCTATATATATATATATATCTATAAGGATAAACAAATGAGAGAGGAGGGAGAAACGCCTTTTGAGAAGACTCATGCAAAAAACAGTTCATGGGGTCGAGGGAGGAAAACATATATTGTTTTAAAAACATCAAAGGAGAGAAAAGAAAATGCAATAACAGCCCCCCCCCACACCGGCAATATTCTTTTTTTTTTAAAAAAAAAATCAGGTGTTTTTTTTGGAACAGACTTTTTGCATACCATTGATTCATTGGTGTATTAATGCACTTATATTCCCAGCTTTTAAGCTAACATACAGTAAATAAATACATTGTCCAGGGCAAGGGCAGGGGAGAGGGAGCGCAAACCAAGTAGTAGTTACTGATATCCAAGTGCGGAGGCTGAGGTGAGTCTTTGGCCATAAAGGGCGTACGGAGAGTAGTAGGGTCCCGCTGTGGGCAAGGAGGGCACCGGGAGCGCCCCGGCCGTGGGCAAATGGCTCTTGCTGTAGGGGTGGTACCGGCCGAGTCCCAAGGTGTGCGGGCTTCTCAAGGAGAGGGACCCCGGCAAGGAGCTGGGGCTCCCGGGGGCGGTGGGCGGGAGGTGGAGGTGGCACGATGCCGCCGCCGCAGACCCTAGCCCCGAGGCGGGGTAGCCGGCCAAGAGTTTCTCTGCCCCAGGCAGGGCCGTGTGGGTCCTCAGGTGGGCCAGCAGTTCCTCCGAGGTGCCAAACCTCTTGTCGCAGGGTCCGCTGGCTGAGACCCAGTTGCATATGTGGGTCAGGGCGTCGTTCTGGATCATGAAGCCGTAGGTGTAGAGCGGGTGGCCCGGCAGGCTGGGCGTGGCGCTGGAGGAGAGGGCCGAGTGGAGCGGGTGGGTGGGGTACACCAGGGGGTACCCGCTCTTCAGGCCGCCCGCCGGGTCGTGGACGCAGCTGGAGCAGTTGGCGCCGCCGCCGGTGCCCAAGTGGGAGGCGCTGTGGTAGCTGAGGCAATAGGGGTCCCGGCATAATCCTTGCATGAAGGAGGGCGGCGAGGCGCCCGTCAGCGGGCTGGAGCTGGGCGGCTTGCCCGGCAGCCCCAAGGCCCCCGGCAGCTGGCCGCTCACCAGGCCCGCCGGCTTGGTAGGATCCAGAGCGGGCACAAACTGGGACGGGTAGCCCGCGGCGGCGGCGTAGGCCCCGACGATGGAGCCGTGGTAGCCGATGCCGGA